CACTGACATCAATGTAAGAGAGATACTGCTCCACTTACACCAATGTAAGAGACATACTACTCCACTGACACCAATGTGAGGGACATACTACTCACTGACACCAATGTAAAGAACATAATACTCCACTGACACCAATGTAAGAGCATAATACTCCACTGACACCAATGTAAGAGAGATACACCACTGCATGCTGGACTATCCTCAGCCAAGCCTCCCACCCACACCTACCCGCCACCCAGTGTACCTTCCTAAAAAGCCTCTTCCACTCCTCCTCATATTCCCTCTCCTCCGTTCCCAAAATCTCTTCTCTGTATCCCTCTGCTCCCCCAAACATTTGTATAATGTGTCCTCACTGCTTCCTTCACCCCTCTACGGCACCCACCACCTCCTCCTATTACTCCACTCTCCCACTGACCCCGAACACCTCTCTACTAGTAGTTCTCACGCTCCTGCACATCCCGCTCCCATGCCACCTTTCTCACCCTTCTCTTCCTCCTAACCACGGGGGACATCTCCCCATATCCTGGCCCTCCACCACCTCCCCTCACCGCACAACACCCTCCCGCCTCAACGTCCTGCCCCAACCCCCACAACTTAGTATCTGTCCCCCTGCTCCCTAAAATCTCCCCCGTTTTCATGTGCACTCCTGAACGCCCGATCGGTGTACAACAAGCTCACCGCCATCCACAACCTCTTTGTTTCCCGCTCCCTCAACTTCCTAGCGATCACAGAAACCTGGATCCAGCCCACTGATTCTACCTCCCCTGCTGCACTCTCCTACGGAGGTCTCTCACCTGGACCCACTCACCCAGACCCAACGGTCGTAAAGGTGGTGGGGGGTTGGTCTGCTGCTCCAGACACCGCAAGCACCTTCTGAGTTCTCCCAAAAAAAAAAAACCTCCTCTCTCTATCCTTCTCCTCCTTCGAGGCCCACTGCATCCGACTATTCTCCCCAACCCCCCTGAAGATTGCTGTGATATACCGCCCTCCTGGATCTATACCCCGCTTCCTGGATGACTTCTCCTCCTGGCTACCCTTCTTCCTCTCCTCTGAGCTACCCACCATCATCCTTGGGATTTCAACATCCCTGTCAACCTTGACAACCCGGCCACATCCCATCTCCTCCACTTAACCTCCTCCTTTGCACTTGCACAGTGCATACAATCCACCACCCACTCCAACGGTAATATCCTTGATCTTGTCTTCTCCAACCGCTGCGCTCCCCACAACCTCACTATTTCCCTCCATTCCAGTCCTGACACCTTCCCTCCCATTGCAGTCCGGACACTTTCCCCCCATTTCAGTCTGGACACTTTCCCCCCTTCCAGTCTGGATGTTTCCCCCCCCATTCCAGTCTGGACGCTTCCCCCCTTCCAGTCTGGACGCTCCCCCCCCCATTCCATTCCAAACACTTTCCCCCCCATTCCAGTCTGGACACTTTCCCCCCTTCCAGTCTGGACGCCTCCCCCCCCCATTCCAGTCCAGACACTTTCCCCCCCCTTCCAGTCTGGACGCTTTCCCCCCATTCCAGTCTGGACGCTTCCCCCCCATTCCAGTCCAGGACACTTTCCCCCCCCCATTCCCAGTCCCACAGGACACTTTCCCCCCTTCCAGTCGGACACTTCCCCCCTTCCAGTCCGGACACTTTCCCCCCATTCCAGTCTGGACACTTTCCCCCCCCTCCAGTCTGGACGCTTCCCCCCTTCCAGTCCAGTCTGGACGCTTCCCCCCTTCCAGTCCGGGACACTTTCACCCCCCTTCCAGTCCAGACACTTTCCCCCTTCCAGTCTGGACGCTTTCACCCCTTTCCAGTCCAGACACTTTCCCCCCTTCCAGTCTGGACGCTTCCTTCCCATTCTATTCCAGACACTTTTCCCCCCCATTCCAGTCCAGATACTTTCCCCCCCTTCCAGTCTGGATGCTTCCCCCCCCCCCCCCCCCTCCAGTCTGGACGCTTCCTTCCCATTCCAGTCTGGACCGCTTCCCCCCCATTCCAGTCCGGACACTTCCCCCCCCCCCCCCATTCCAGTCCGGACAACTTCCCCCCCCCCCCTTCCAGTCTGGACGCTTTCACCCCCCTTCCAGTCCAGACACTTTCCCCCCCCCTTCCAGTCTGGACGCTTTTCCCCCCCATTCCAGTCCAGGACACTTCCCCCCCTTCCAGTCCAGACACTTTCCCCCCTTCCAGTCCGGACTGTAGGGGGGCAGCTATATACCAGTGGAAAGGTGTCACCACTCCTCGTGGCTGATAATATTCCCAGAGGACAGTTTATGAGGATCAGGAGGAACTGCACCGATATGAGCACCTGTCACTCACAGGCCTTGATCCTCACACATAGGTTGATGGGAAAAGGTTCTGATGAGCCTACTTTCAGCAACACAATGAATATTGTGACCAATAGGAAGAGAGATGATAGGATAGACAAGGACACACCAGAGATTGCCTGTTTATGACAACATTCTCCACACAACACAAGGCCATTAGTAGAATCAATAAGAAGCGGGGAATTCTAAAGACGGATCCAGTCTGGTCACAGATTTTACTGCCGGAAACCTGAGATTTATATTTGGTAAGGCAGCTGCCCTCAGGAACAGAATAGCACCTAATGTAGTCCATCCACCAGCAATGACGTCTTTTTTCACTAACCTCAAAGGATTCCACCCGTGTAACAAACATGTTATTTGCTGATGTAATCATGTTAGAAAATAGAAACACGAGTCGTTTTCATGTTGTAACACTGGCAGATCATATGATAGTGAGACGTTTGTTCCATGTAATACTCGATTTGTAGTGTCTATGCTGGAGTGTCCTTGTGGTAAACAATATATAGGACGCACCACCAGAAGGCTGAGGGATACATTCCATCAACACGTATAGAATATTACAAGGGGTGTTACAGAGCGTTCCCTCTCAAAGCATTCTACATATTTCCACAACAAGGACCCTTCCACACTGACATTTGTAGGAATTGATATCCTCCAACCACACATGGAGAGGCACACACACAAGGAGAGCGGTGTCACAACCTGAACACAAATGGATTATGGAAATGGGCACTTTACTTCCTGCAGGACACAATATAGAGATCCATGACAACGGCTTCATTCATAACAGTTCATTATTATTTGTAACCCGACAATTGTATCAGCATTTCCTTTTATTAGCATCTCCTTTATTCAGCTGTTACCCCTTTCCAATGTTACATATCTGATCCCTCTTATAGTATCTTCATCCTCTTAGTTACTTTTATATCGACACCCCATCACACGATGGTACCCCTCCCTACTGGCATCACATATACCAGCATTTGGCCCAATCATTGACATTTTTAGATAAGTTTCCTCTATATTTTATATATATTCTTTTTATACCTATTTTCAAGGGACATCATTTTATTTTAGTGCTGCACCTTTTACTCCACTGACACCAATGTAAGGGAGATACTACTCCACTGACACCAATGTAAGGGAGATACTAATCCAATGACAATAATGTAAGGGACATACTACTCCACGACACCAATGTAAGGGACATACTACTCCACTGACACCACCAATGTAAGAGAGATACTACTCTACTGACACCAATGTAAGGGAGATACTACTCCACTGACACCAATGTAAAAGAGATACTACTCCACTGACACCAAATGTAAGGGAGATACCACTCCACTGACACCAATGAAAGAGAGATACTACTCCACTGACACCAATGTAAGAGATACTACTCCACTGACCACTAAGGAATACTAATCCAATGACACCCTGTAAGGGAGATACTACTCCACTGACACCAATGTAAGGGAGATACTAATCCAATGACACCGATGTAAGGACAATTTAACTCCACAATGACACCCAATGTAAGGGAGATACTAATCCAATGACACCAATGTAAGGGACATACTATTCCACTGACACCAATGTAAGGGACATACTACTCCACTGACACCAATGTAAGAACATACTACTCCTCTGACACCAATGTAAGGGAGATACTACTCCACTGACACCAATGTAAGGGACATACTACTCCACTGACACCAATGTAAGGGAGATACTACTCCACTGACACCAATTAAGGGACATACTACTCCACTGACACCAATGTAAGAGACATACTACTCCACTGACATCAATGTAAGGAGATACTACTCCACTGACACCAATGTAAGGGACATACTACTCCACTGACACCAATGTAAGGACATACTAATCACTGACACCAATGTAAGGGACATACTACTCCACTGACACCAATGTAAGAGACATACTACTCCACTGACACCAATGTAAGGACATACTAATCCACTGACAACACCAATGTAAGGGACATACTACTCCACTGACACCAATGTAAGATAGACATACTTCTCCACTGACACCAATGTAAGGACATACTACTCCACTGACACCAATGTAAGGACATACTACTCCACTGACACAACAATGTAAGGACATACTACTCCACTGACACCAATGTAAGGGACATACTACTCCACTGACACCAATGTAAGAGACATACTACTACTCCACTGACACCAATGTAAGGGACAAACTACTCCACTGACACCAATGTAAGAGACATTCTACTCCACTGACACCAATGTAAGGACATACTACTCCACTGACACAAATGTAAGGACATACTACTCCACTGACACCAATGTAAGGGACATACTACTCCACTGACACCAATGTAAGAGACATACTACTCCACTGACACCAATGTAAGGGACATACTACTCCACTGACACACCAATGTAAGGACATACTACTCCACTAACACCAATGTAAGGGACATACTACTCCACTGACACCAATGTAAGAGACACACCCTACCACTCACTAACACCAATGTAAGGGACATACTACTACACTGACACCAATGTAAGAGACATATTACATCCACTGACACCAATGTAAGGACATACTACTACTCCACTGACACCAATGTAAGGACATACTACTCCACTGACACCAATGTAAGGATAGATACTTCTCCACTGACACCAATGTAAGGGACATACCACTCCACTGACACCAATGTAAGGACATACTACTCCACTGACACCAATGTAAGGACATACTACTCCACTGACACCAATGTAAGGACATACTACTCCACTGACACCAATGAAACATGCACACATCACCCCCATACTTAAAAACCCTCCCTGGACCCCAATGACCCGAACAACCTCAGACCCATCTCCCTGCTGCCAGTTACATCCAAACTCCTCGAGCGCCTCGTCTACACCCGCCTAAGCCAAAATACGCCCGTTTCCTAACCCCAGAAACCACTAAACAGCTCATCCCACTCCCTCATCATATCACGACTCGACTACTGCATCTCCCTCCTCACTGGCCTGCCTCGCCACAGGCTATCCCCCACTTCAGTCCATCCTGAATACGGCTTCCAGACTCATTCAACTTTCCAACCGCTCCATCCTCTGCCACCCCCCTCTGGCAATCCCTCCACTGGCCTCCATTCAGTGTCCTCCACCCCTCTCTGCCAATCCCTCCACTGGCCTCCACTCAGCGTCCTCCACCCCCCTCTGCCAATCCCTCCACTGGCCTCCATTCAGTGTCCTCCATGCCCCTCTGCCAATCCCTCCACTGGCCTCCACTCAGTGTCCTCCACCTCTCCCTGCCAATCCCTCCACTGGCCTCCACTCAGTGTCCTCCACCCCCCTCTGCCAATCCCTCCACTGGCCTCCATTCAGTGTCCTCACCCCCCTCTGCCAATCCCTCCACTGGCCTCCACTCAGTGTCCTCCACCCCCCTTTGCCAATCCCTCCACTGGCCTCCACTCAGTGTCCCCCCACCCCCCTCTGCCAATCCCTCCACTGGCCTCCACCTAGTGTCCTCCACCCCCCTTTGCCAATCCCTCCACTGGCCTCCACTCAGTGTCCTCCACCCCCCTCTGCCAATCCCTCCACTGGCCCCACTCAGTGTCCTCCACCCCTCTCTGCCAATCCCTCCACTGGCCTCCACTCAGTGTCCTCCACCCCTCTCTGCCAATCCCTCCACTGGCCTCCACTCAGTGTCCTCCACCCCCCTCTGCCAATCCCCTCCACTGGCCTCCACTCAGTGTCCTCCACCCCCCTCTGCCAATCCCTCCACTGGCTCCCGATTGCACAACGGATCAGATGCAAAATCCTAACACTGACGTACAAAGCCGTCCGACCATACTGCCCCGAACTACATCATTGACCTAATATCCAAGTACCACCCAACACGCACACTCCGCTCCTCACAAGACCTCCTTCTCTCTAGTTCTCTGGTCTCCTCCTCCCCTCTAGTTCCCTGGTCTCTCCTCATTCTCTCTAGTTCCCTGGTCTCCTCCTTCTCTCTAGTTCTCTGGTCTCCTCCTCCAACTCTAGTTCCCTGGTCTCTCCTCCTCCCCTCTAGTTCCCTGGTCTCCTCTTCTCCCCTCTAGTTCCCTGGTCTCCTCCTCCCCTCTAGTTCCCCTGGTCTCCTCCTTCTCTCTAGTTCCCTGGTCTCCTCCTTCTCTCTAGTTTTCCTGGTCTCCTCCTCCCCTCTAGTTCCCTGGTCTCCTCCTCCCCTCTAGTTTCCCTGGTCTCCTCCTCCTTCTCTCTAGTTCCCTGGTCTCCTCCTCCCCTCTAGTTCCCTGGTCTCCTCCTCCCCTCTCTAGTTCCCTGGTCTCCTCCTCCCCTCTAGTTCCCCTGGTCTCCTCCTTCTCTCTATTTCCCTGGTCTCCTCCTTCTCTCTAGTTCCCTGGTCTCCTCCTTCTCTCTAGTTCCCTGGTCTCCTCCTTCTCCTCTAGTTTTTTTCCCTGGTCTCCTCCTTCTCTCTAGTTCCCTGGTCTCCTCCTACCCTCTAGTTCCCTGGTCTCCTCCTCCCCTCTAGTTCCCTGGTCTCCTCCTTCTCTCTAGTTCCCTTCTCTCTCCTCTTTCTCTCTAGTTCCCTGGTCCTTCCTTCTCTCTCTAGTTCCCTGGTCTCCTCCTTCTCTCTAGTTCCCTGGTCTCCTCTCCCTCTAGTTCTCTCTAGTTCCCTGTATCTCCTCCTTCTCTCTAGTTCCCTGGTCTCCTCCTCCCACGCCCTCTCCTGCAGGACTTCCACCAGGGTGTCTCCCATCCTCTGATATAGAAATCTAGGGCGTGGCTGTATTTCGAGGGCAGTAAGTGCTGTGACCATGTCCACCTTCCACGCTGTCTGTGTTGGACACCATTTCCACGTAAAGCTGGCATTGTTCTACCCCAAAGCTGCGCTGTGTTGGAACACAAATATTGCTGCTGTGAAGTGAAGGAGCACAAAGATCTGTGAAAGCCGACATTTAAAGGGGACTATGGAGATGGGACACCTCTGCTGTTCCTGCAAGGAAAGAGTCCGTCACATTGGTGACCATTGTCCTTCACACACACCTTGGCTGATCACCGCAAATAGGAGCCCCACAAGGAGATCTACTGAAGGAAGGAAGCGGCCCATAAGAGGTAAGGATCCAGAGTGTTGGCCCCTAGGGGTCACTGGGGGGAGGAGGCAATCTAGCTCCAATAGAAGATTTTGGCACAATCATTGTTGGACAGAGTGGACAGTTGTTTGCACTGTTTTGGCTCTATAGCACTTTATCTATATATTATTATTATTATTATTATTACATGGAGTTTATATAGAGCCAAAGGGTTTGCTCAGCTCTGTACAATAGAGGGGGGACAATACATGGCCCAGTACAACAAAGACAGACAACGTACGAGGGGTAAGAGGGCCCTACTCTTTCCAGCTTACAATCTAGGAGGGAGGGGGTTGTAGTGGATCAATAGGAGTGGCTGAGGGGGATGAAGTGGCTGAGGGGGATGAAGTGGCTGAGGGGGTTGAAGTGGTGAGGGGAATGAAGTGGTGGGAGGAATGAGGGAGGATGGCCGTTAGGTGAGGGTGGGGTAGGCTTCCCATGAAGAGATGGGTTTTCTGAGGAGCGCCTGAATGTGGGGAGGAAGGCGACAGTCGGATGGATTGGGGCAGTGAAGTGAGTTCCAGAGGATGGGGGAGGACCTGGAGAAGTCCTGCAGTCGTACATTGGGAGGAGGAGACCAGGGAGCAGAATAGAAGGAGGTTCCTGTGAGGAGCGAAGGGTACGTGTAGGGCGGTTATACTTGGGGATCAGGTTGTGAGGTAGTCAGGGGCAGTGTTATGAATGGCTTTGTAGGTCAGGATTATAAGTTTAAATTTGATGCGTTGGGCAATCGGGAGCCAGTGGAGGGAGAGGCAGAGGGGGGTGGAGCCAGTGGAGGGAGAGGCAGAGGGGAGGTGGAGCCAGTGGAGGGAGAGGCAGGCAGGGGGGTGGAGCCAGTGGAGGGAGAGGCAGAGGGGGGTGGCAGAGGTGGGGAGCGGCTGGTGAGGTGGATGAGTCTGGCAGCTGAGTTCAGGATGGTGTGGAGCGGGGAGAGCCTGCACTGGGGGTAGGCCGTGTGAGGAGGGAGTTGCAGTAGTCCAGGCCGGTGAGATGATGAGGGAGTGTACGAGTAGTTTGGTGGTGTGTCTGGGGTGAGGAAGGCACGTATCTTGGCATATATTGCGGAGATGGAACCTGCAGGTGTTTGTAAGTGATTTGACATGAGGGAGAAGGAGAGGTTCGAGTCAAGAATGACGCAAGGACTTTGGCTATTGCGGGGCGGGAGTGATAGTGGTGTTGGGGGTTGGGTGGTGATGGATAGGATGGGGGGGGGGGCAGGGCAGGGAAATGACGAGGAGCTCGGTTTTGGAGAGGTTGAAGCTTGAGGAAATGGAGCGACATCCAGTCTGAGATGTCATTTTAGGAGGTGAGTGATGCGGGCGGAGATAGTGGGGATGAGCTGAGAGGGGTGGAGAGAGGTAAGATTTGGTTGTCGTCAGCAAAGAGGTGATTAAATTGCAATACCCATTACAATCCCTCCTAGATTTGTCAAAGCTCCAAGGATTCGAGGGCCCTCGATCCCCTCATGTACACATTGTATT